TCCCCTCCTCCTCCTCCTCCTCCTCCTCCTCCTCCTCCTCATCCTCCTCCTCTCCCCTTCGCAGGGTGGTGCTCTGGTTGATGAGCACCACCCTGCGAAGGGGAGAGGTGGACAGTGGAGGGTGCGGCGGCTATGGAGGAGGCTTCTCGCAGCCCACGGAAGGGGCCAGCAGATTGCCCCCCCCCGCTCGGCATCACGCCCTGGGAGGGCGTCGCGCGTCGCACTGATCATGGCTGCTGGAACAAACCGCAGCCTCCACTCGGAAGCTGGGCGAGGGCTGCTAAAACCGTGGCTGCTAAACCGGCCCTCCCGGAAAGAAAAAACAACTTCCCGGAATGAGGCGCGGCACGCGAAACAGTCAACGGGCTTCTTCCCGGAAGGACGAAGTACGAAGACAACTTCCCGGAGGTCGGTTTTAGCAGCCACGGATTTAGCAGCCCTTGCCCAGCTTCCGACCCACAATGGCGGATAAGAGTGGGGGCGGGGGTGGTGGGCAATTTGCGAGGCTTGAGAGCACATTTCCGCCGACCCGCGCTTGCAAGGGCTGTGGGAGACGATTGACCTTTCCCCCTCCGCCTTTCCCCCTCCCGGGGGGTCCAACCTTTGGCTAGAGGTGGCTGGGGTGGACGAGGCGAGGGGGGCGGGGACGAGCTCGTCAACGCACCTCTAGGGCCCTCGGAGCGTTCAAATCCACCACCCGTGGCATCCAAGATGCCAAAGGGGCCCAGAGACAGCTCGATAGAGCCCCAACACGGCCGAAGGGGCCCGCACGACAACCGGAAATACCTTGAAGAGGGCCCCCAGCGAAGCCCCCCAACAAAAATTCGCAGGCCCCCCCGGGAAGCCAGAAGACGGCCCAAAGACGTCCAACATGCCCCCAAAGCCTCAAACAACCTACACGAGCACTGAACAAGCTCCCGTGAGGCCGCCACCTAGGCCTCCGAGAGGCCCCCACAGAAACCTCGAAACACACGTGGAAGAAGAAAAAGACAAACCAAAACAATTACTACGTACGGAAACAAACGGGAAACGGTAAAGAACACATACGGAATCGGAAACAACACATATCCTCTGCTGGGGGTAGGCGCAGTAGCGTGCGCCTCTCGAGTATGTGCAGCGGGAGATTTTAAACAGGTCGGCATGTATGCACATAGGTAGATGTATGCATGTATAACTATATATATACATATATATATATATAGATGTCATACGACATGTCAGCAGAGGAGGGTGTCCAAGCAAACCTACGCGGCGCCGACTCCCAACTCACCTCACCATGTTCTCAAGGGAATTACGCGGCCACCGCCTTGTACAACAATCCGTGCATGTGTTACTTACACGCGTGCAGGCACACACGTACTCTTCTTGTCTGTATACAGATATGCACATACGCATATACCGTTGTGTGGGCGCGTATTTTCAGGAAAACGAATGTGAATATATGTTAAATTGTAAACATCGGCTGCAATCTGTCCGCAGACAGTGTGACCAGACGGATCACTGTCACTGCGGAGGTGCTCAAAAGTGCAATTTCCCATTCAAGACAGAATTCTCGCAGAGGGTCCGTCACAGCCTGTTCCTTTGCGTTTGAGCTTACTTTCGGGAGCGGCAATTCTCACTCTGTGGCAGCCTGTTGATTGAAGTCTACTTGTCTTCGCGGCGGCACCCCCGCGCCAGCTTTCATGGTCTGAGCGGGCTCCTCCCTCTTTCGCCTCCGTGCCTCCATTCGAATCCAGTGCACCCCACCGCTTGCTGACGGAGTCCGACGGCCTCAGACCCCGTGGCGCCCGCGGGACTCACAAAAGCTCCCGCGGCGATCACACCTCAGACTATCGATTCGAACGTGCCCGTCTCCGTGGGTGCCAGCAGTCCGCCCGGCGCGGGGGGGCAGGGAGAGCGCAGGCCCAGGGAAGGAAATCTGTCCTTCGGGACCTGAGAAGGCGTGCTCTGTTCTCTCCGCAAGCTTACCAGTATTGAGGGGGCTGGGGAGGGCGAGGCGAGGCCAGAAAGAACGTCTGGACAGCGCCCTCACAGTGTTTTTGGCCTCCGACGGGAGGCCGGGCGCCCATGGGGGGGCGGACTGGCAGGTCCACAGGCTACAGCACAAAACTCTGCGGACCGACAAACCTGCACCTCGACTCCCCCAGCAGCGCCGGCTGGCCCAGGGACTCGAAACCAACCGGTCCGGATCCCGACGCGATCTTCTTTTTGACCGGGCGGAGGACCGGACCCAGTCCACGTCGGCCCACTCGCTGTACTCCCCTGGCATGCCGCGCACGATGGTCCGCCACACGGCCCAGTCGCGATCGTCGAGCCACCGCCCGGAGCCGTCCACGGCCGAGCCGCCCCACCCGCGCGGATCCAGCGGCCACGACCCGGCAGGCCGCGCCACAAGCCAGTGGCTCATGCGCATCAGCGCGTCCAGCCGGCCCGGCTCCAGGCACTCCATGCCGACGAACCCGCCGAAGCTCCCCGGCGTCGCCCCGCCCGAGGCCAGCCTGTCGCCGATCGCGGACGCCACGGGCGCGTCGACGAAGGAGCACCACAGGCCCGGCAGCACCGGGTGGCCCGTGAGGCGCCGGAACGCGCCCGGCCGCCCCGAGGGCGGCGCCGGGGCCACCAGGGGCACCGAGTGCAGCACGTGCAGCGGCGTCGGGTGCCTGCCGCCCCACCTGAGCGGCATTGAGTGCAGCTGCGGGGGCAGCCCCAGCCGCGGGTCGGCGGCGGCGAGGGGCGGCAGGTGCACGTGGAGCCGCCAGGAGGGCCGCAGCCTCCTCTGCTCGGGGGCCTGCCTGTCCCAAGGGACGCCCGAGGCCACGCCTGCGTCCACGTTCACGACCAGGAACAGGGTGTCCAGCGCGGAGTGGCGGAGGACGATGCCGACGCAGCCGCCCAGGCCCTCCTCGGTGGTCGACGGGTGCGCGACGAGCAGGTCGCCCGCCCTGACGTCGTCAGCGACCAAGACCGGCTCGTAGGCGGCCGCGGAAACGCTCGGCGCCCACGGTCCGCAGCGGGGCAGCGGCGCCCAGCCCGCCAAGTTGCTCACCGCCAAGGTCGCCGACGCGACGGCGGCGTCGTCCACCCCTGCGGCAGTGGTGACCCGCAGGTGCCGGCGCACGCGGCTCCGGAAGCCGCCCGCGGGGCCCGCGGGCCGGTAGGCCACGGAGTTCTGGAGCACGCCGTCGTCGAAGCCACCCGTGGTGCCGACCAGCGCCCGCAGCACCTTCGGCGGCAGCAGCGCCAGGGCGGCCCGGTGGCCGGGCAGGTCCAGGGGGCGGAGCTCCCGCAGCAGCGAGCGGAAGACGGCGAGGCGGGAGGCGCCGCTCATCGCTCAAGGGGCCAAGTCAGTTGAAGGGGCCCTGGGACACACAAATAAATGCACACAACCAAAGGGATCCCCCATATTTTCTCATATTTTCTGGATGTTCGTCTTCCCCCCCACTTCCCATACTTTCCCATATTTTCTGGGGAATCGACGATTAATTGTGTCTGTGTGTGTTTGTTCCCCTCCTGATCAGTGGGGGTTGGAGTACCATGTGAGCGACGAACAGACAGGGGTCCCAAATCAAGGGATGGTGGAGGGGAGCGAGCTGGAGAGGCGGCGGTGCTGCCAGGCCGCTGAGCGCACCGGGGTCACCTTGAGCCGGGATGGCAGCATTGAGCCAAAATAACTGCGAAGCGGATCCCGACGCATCGGGCTCCCCCAAATGGGCTTGGGGTCCAGAAAAACTGACTCGGGGCCTGCTTGAAGCTGGATGCTGCCACCAGCTCTCCCGCGTCTGCTGCGCCCCCACATCCCTCCCGGGCCCCTCCTGAGTCTCGGAATTCATGCGGTGGAAAATCAACTCCAAATGCGACCAGGCCCAAGGCATAATCACATCCTTCCAGAACACGAGGCCCTACGCCGGCCCAACTTCAGAACATTCGAGGGCGCCCTCTCCCAGGATGCACAAGAGCACCCAACAAGCAACACCAGGGCACTCTCCCGGAGGAGGAGGAGGAGGAGGAGGAGGAGGAGGAGGAGAAGGAGGAGAAGGAGGGGTAAGAGAGAGGAGGAGGAGGAGGAGGAGGAGGAGGAGGAGGGGAGAGGAGGAGGAGGCAGGCGGAGGAGGAGGAGGCGGGGGGGGAGGAGGAGGAAAAGAAGGAAATGGAGAGGAGGAGGAGGAGGAGGAGGAGGAGGAGGAGGAGGAGGAGGAGGAGGAGGAGAAGGACGGAGGAGAGGGAGGAGGAGGATGGAGGAGGAGGCAGGCGGCGGTAGGAGGAGGAGGAGGGAGGAGGAAGAGACGGAGGAGGAGGAGGAGGAGGAGGGAGGGAGGAGGAGGAGCAGGAGGAGGAGGGAAGACGGAAGAGGAGATGGGGAGGAGGAGGAGGAGGAGGAGGGGAGGAGGAGGAGGAGGAGGAGAGGAGGAGGAAGATGGAGGAGGCGGCGGCGGCGGCGGAGGCTGCCGGGAGTGTCCCCCCTTCCTCTCTCGTCTTCGTCCTGGTGCACGAGGAGGGCGAGGAGGAGGTAGGAGGAGGAGGAGTTGCACGAGGAGGAGGAGAGGAGGAGGAGAGGAGGAAGAGGAGAGGAGGATGGAGGAGGAGAAAGAGTGAGAAAGAGGAGGGGGGAGGGGGAGGAGGAGGAGGAGGAGGGAGGAGGAGGAGGAGGAGAGCGCAGGAGGAGGAGCAGGGAGGAGGAGGAGAGGAGGGGAGGAAAGAGGAGGAGGAGGAGGAGGAGGAGGAGGAGGAAGAGGATGGAGGAGGAGGAGGAGAGAGAAGCAGGAGGAGGATGAGGGGAGGAGTAGGAGGAGGAGAAGGAAGAAGATGATGAAGAGGAAGAGGAGGAGGCGGCGGCGGCGGCGGAGGAGGAGGAGGGGGAGGAAAGGGAGGAAGGGAGGAAGAGAGGAGGAGGAGGAGGAGGAGGAGGAGGAGGAGGAGGAGGAGGAAGGAGGAGGAGGGAGGAGGAGGAGGAAGAGACGGAGGAGGAGGAGGAGGAGGAGGAGGGAGGAGGAGGAGCAGGAGGAGGAGGAAGAGGAAGAGGAAGAGGAGGAGGAGGAGGAGAAGGAGGAAGAGGAAGAGGAAGAGGAAGAGAAGGAGGAGAAGGAGGAGGAGGAGGCGGCGGAGGAGGAGGAGGAGGCGGCGGAGGAGGAGGAGGAGGAGGAGGAGGATCGGTCCGACCGCATCAGCTGCCAGCTCATTGCCGAGACCCCCAGCGGGTTTTGCCCGCGGCCCCCCGAGGCAGCGCGCGGCGCTCGGGTCGCCGAGGCGGGCCCGGTATCCCGCAAGCAAGGCCCCCAGCTGGGCAGGAGGGGGCGGCTGCCTCACCGATGGCCTGGGTGCCTCGGCACCCGCGTGCGCCGATCGTGGAGCCGACCCTGCGCGCCAATGCCGCCGCCCTCCTCCTCGTCCTCGTCGTCGTCGTCGTCGTCGTGGTCGTCGTCGTGGTCGTCGTCGTCGTCGTCGTCGTCGTCGTCGTCGTCGTCGTCGTTGTCGTGGTCATCGTGGTCGTGGTCGTGGTCGTGGTCGTGGTCGTCGTGGTCGTCGTCGTCGTCGTCGTCGTCGTCGTCGTCGTCGTCGTCGTCGTCGTCGTCGTCGTCCGCCGCCGTCGTGCCGTGTGGTCCTGCGGCCTGCCTGCCCTGCTGCTGGAGAAGACGAAGGGGCCCAGGGACACGCAGGCAAATGCACAGACATCCCAAGATTCCCAGAATCTCGTCTCGGCATATGTTTTCTGGATGCTCGTCTTTCCCCCGCCCCACTCCCCATATGCCCCCCTATTTCCTGGGGGTCGACGACTCATTGGGGAAGTCAAGAGGTACCGATACCGCTACTCCCCGGACCTCTCCGGGGGTGCATTCAGACTAGGATTTCGAGGCGAATCCAGCGGTGGCGACGAGGGCTCCCCAGGAGGCCCGACAAGGGGAAGACGGGCGCAAGGTAGAGGCATGGGCACCTTTTCCTCCTCCGATTCTCGGGTCCGGCGAAAGGGGGGGATAGCAAAAGGGGGGTTCGAGAATCAGCTCACGCAGCTGAGTTTCCCGGCGCCTCCCGGGGCCGGAAATCGGCTATGTATCGAGGGATGGGACCCTCGGTGGGGCCGAGGCCAGCTGCATGCAGCAGATTTCGTACCCCCCCTTTCCCCCCCTTTCGTCCGGCCCGAGATTCACTGTCTGTGTGACTCTCTCCCCTCCCGAGAAGAAGGGCTAGAGGCCTCCTAGATGGGGTCGGAATAGATGGGGTCGGAGGATCGCGCCGCAACGCCGATGCATCGGCGATGCATCGGCGATGCATCGGTGATGCACCGGCGATGCATCGACGACGTCGGCGCTGCATCGGCAACGTCGACGCGGAGCAAATCGGGCTGCACATCGAGCCGCATCCGCGATGCATCCGCGATGCATCGGCGATGCGGCGCGATCCTCCGACCCCGTCTACCCTGACCTTCCAAGAGGGCACAAAAAATAGCACCAGGACGTCGACGTCCTATTTCCTGTCGAGGTTTTGAGGCAGTCCAGATAGATCCATAGGTCTGGAGTGCTATTTTTTAGCACTCTGGAAGGTCAGGGTACCCCGACCCCATCCAGGAGGCCTTGAAGGGCGCCCCGCGCGGCGCCGCGGAGCGAGCGCCTGGCGAGGGCGGCTCTCTCCCCCCTCCCGAGAAGAGGGGCGCCCCCCCCCCCACCGAGAGGAGGGGCGCCCCCCCCCTCCGAGAGGAGGGGCGCCCCCCCCCCCCTCCCGAGAAGCGGGGCGCCACCCCCCCCCCTGTCTGTGTGACCCCCTCCCCCCCCCCGAGCAGCGGGGCGCCCTGCGCGCGGCGCGCCGCGGAGCGCGCGCCGGGCGAGGGCGGCGCTCTCTCCGCCGGGCGGGGCGCCCGGGCGCCCGCGGCGCCCGCGAGAGGGGGCGGGCGGGCGGCGCGCGGCGGAGGGCCGCCGCGCCCGCGGCGCCCGCGGCGGCCCGCGCAGGGCGGAGGCGCTCTGCGCCCCCGAGAGCGGCACAACTTCGGCCACCTCTGGCCTGGGAGTCGGGCCTGGTCCCCCTGCAGGGGGAGGTTCAACGAGAAATCAACCATCTACCCCCAAAAGTAGTCAAAACAAGAATTCAAAAAAAAACAAAAAAAAAAAAAAAGAAACAAGTCTGGAGCTATTTGAAGGCACCTTTGGCATCGTGGATGCCACGGGTGGTGGATTTGAACGCTCCGAGGGCCCTAGAGGTGCGTTGACGAGCTCGTCCCCGCCCCCCTCGCCTGGCATTAAGTCGGACCTGTCCCCCTACAGGGGGATGTTCGACGAACAAAAAAAAACAAAAAACAAAAAGCAAAAAAAGAATCCAAAAATAGTCTGGGGACTATCTGTTCCGTATTTTGTTGACCCTCTTGGGGCATTTTTGGGGTATTTTTTATGTTTCGTCGAAAATCCCCCTGTAGGGGGACACGCCCGACTTAACTCTAGCCAAAGATTGGACCCCCCGGGAGGGGGAAAGGCGGAGGGGGGAAAGGCCAAGCTAGGTGCGCTCGCGTCATATCTCACGTCCTACCCCTCCCTCCCATCCCTTACCATGGCGCTGATTTTCTCTATCCGCGGACGCGTGTCGTAGTGGACCTGTGGCTCCGCGCGCGCGTGCGTAGTGGGTGGTGGTGCACGTGCGTGCGTGCGTGCGTGTGTGCGTGGTTGTCGTGGTGGTGGTGGTGGTGGTGGTGGTGGGGTGGTGGTGGTGGTGGTGGTGATGGTGGTGGTGGTGGTGGTGGTGCTGGTGGTGGTGCTGGTGCTGGTGCTGGTGGTACTGGTGCTGGGTGCTGGTGGTGGTGGTGGTGGTGGTGGTGGTGGTGGCGGTGCGGCGCGGTGGTGGCGGGCGGATGGGCGCGCGAGAAAAAGGCCCGCGCTGGGGCGAGAACGCCATCCTGAACGACGGAGGCCAAACACCGATCCGAAAATGAGGCCCACGCAGCAGCGGGAGCACGATTCGGAACGATTCGGGAGCAGAAAAGAGGCCGGCGCCTCAACGAGAGCAACATTTTGGGACAAAAATTACGCCGGCGCCTCAGCGAGAGTCGTTTCCCGGGATTTCCCGGGAATCCTGTGTGTAAAAAAACAGTACCCGGGATTTCCCGGGAATCCTGTGTAAAAAACAGTACGCGGAGGGTGCGCGGCCATCACCCGGACGCCGATCCGAGAAATCCGCGCGGATCTCCAAGTTTGTATGTTTATGTCACTTTTTGTTCCCCAATCCTCCTCCCTTCGACGAGTGCGTTCCACTGCTCGCAAAAAGACCACTCGCAAATGGCCCGGATCCGCCGGGGGAGATCTGCGAGAACTTGCATCGAGGCAGACATATGTGTTTCGCGCGTTCGCGAGTGGGCACTTTGCAAGCAGTGGAACGCGCTCGGCGGTCCCTGCTCCACCCTCCCGTTCCTTGCCTGATGGGCGTGCTGGAGGGGGGGGGTCCTCCTCCTCCTCCTCCAATCCTCCTCCTCCTCCTCCAATCCTCCTCCTCCTCCTCCTCCTCCTCCAATCCTCCTCCTCCTCCTCTCCTCCTCCTCCTCCTCCTCCAATCCTCCAATCCTCCTCCTCCTCCTCCTCCTCCTCCTCCTCCAATCCTCCTCCTCCTCCTCCTCCTCCTCCTCCTCCCCCTTCCCCCCCTCCAACTTGTGGTGGCGGGGGCACGGCGGCTGCGCCGCCGTGGGGGGGCGCTTCGATGCTTCCCGCCGTGGGGGCGCTCGCCCCCAATCCGCGGCGGGCGGGGGCCGAGGGTGGGCACGCACGCCCCGCAGGTCGCCGCGTCGCCCGAGGCAGCCCGCCGGGAGGCCAAACTGTCGGCGAGG